TACCAGGATAAGCTCCGGGATGGATGAGCTGCTTGGCTCGAATACAAACTATACATGCCTACCCTACACTAGGCTTGAAGCAAAAGGCATGAGAAATAATGTTCGCATGATATATTTTGATTAAAAAAACCAAAAACAAACAAACAAACAAAAACAAAAAAACAAAATCAGCACATATCTTAATACTAGTGAGAAAAATAACAATACCTGATGTGGAAGCTTAATGGTTATTTGAAACGGAAAAAAGCTTGATGATATGCTCTTTAACGTAATGGTGTATCATTTTCTTTTCCCAGAGTCAAGTGGTGGGTACACCAGCACCCCAAATGCTTTCCTATTTTCTCTTCGCAATGAAGAAGGACTAGCGCCATTTAAAAGCGTGGTAAAAAGGCCATCGCACGCAATATACAGGCACTCCAGCATCGGTCCGTTGTTTGGTACCGGTCATGACATCTACATCGCGGACAATGCCAATAGTAATCGTAATTCCGAAGCCAATTTTGGTCATGGCAATGTTTATTCTGTTCCAAGTGGTGTGCAAAACAAACAAACCTTACTGGCAGGTAGTAACCCCTTCACACCCGATGAATGGGAGGTATTTTACCTAGGATAAAAAGTCCTAAGAAACAGAAGAAAACAAAAAAAGAACCATTTACTAGTTCAGAGGTCTCTTTTTGTATTTTAACAAGAAAATTGTAAACAGCGTATGATTGTTGTCTTGTGTAATTATACTCTACTTTCATCTTTGATATAAATGTCAGTTATTTAGTAAAATACCAATTAAGAAAACTTAATAAACATGACTTATGTTTAAGGCTGTGCCTTCATTACGCTAAATTAGTGGGTCTTGCTGTTAACCCTCTAACCTCCAGGAGTGATTTACATGTAATTTCTCCTTAGAGTATCCATACATTATCCAGCAAACAGGTAGTGAGATTACTCAAACTTATCAGGTTAAAGATTTTACCTTAACTCGTATACGTACCTCGACTTCTTTCCTTTTTTCCGGTAGCTTTCTCTTTTTCGCACTTTTTTTTCGATGTCTTGCTCTAGTTTTAAAATTGCTGTTCGCAAAACTTAATCTTCTGCCCCCATACGAATACTTTTAGATACACTCCATTTGGTCGTCAACAGTCGCACTTTGGTTTATAATTCGATTCTTGGTGTTTCATTTTTTTCCTTTTTTTATCCTCTAAATTCCTTTATTTAATCCCCGTGTTAATTTTTCCATCCTCTACCCAGAGTTCCTTGTTTCTTTATGGTTATTCTTAACTCCTTCTTGCTTCTACACCCCGTTTCTCTTATTTTATCCAATTTGACAATAATTCTCAGCCAAAAAAAACACATTACAGCATCATGATGTGAATAGGTTCCTTTGCATCCTTTAATACCGCAGTGTTCTGTAATGTAAACATATTCCTCACCGACGATGTGTGACTCAAACAAGCCTTTGTAAATTTCGTTTGAACCTAGTTAGTCGTATCAAGAGATTATCTCCTCCTGGCCATACCGTCTAATTTTCAAAAAGCCTCTCAAGTGTGCATACGTTCCTGCAATTTCGTTCTGTTCGTTGGTAGAACGTAAGACTGGCAAATCTGCAGAAAATTTAAAGGATAGCATTTCAAAAGAGGCCTGATATTATAATTGGCACTTCAAATGGAAGTGTAGTTCATTGTTGTAGAGTAGTCTAGGTCAAGTGATCACTTTCATTCCTTTAATTCAACTGTTTTTGATTAAATGATCAAGATAATATATTTAGCGTACAACACTCGTAATCAGCTATTTTACTTTCACTTAGGAGAGTATATTTACAGCACGACTGGAAGTTCCTTTCAGTAGTGACGCTATGTGACCTTATGTAACGCAATACACTACAATTGTCATCATCTCCCGGTAGGCTTCAGTATCTCCAAATCGTAACTTCTTGACTAAAATTTTTAAATACCACCGAAATTGCTGACCTCAGCGCGCACCATATTTGTTTAAAATTACTCGATCATCAACTATCATGAACAGTTTGAACGCAAATATGATTGATGGTCAATGATATTGAATGAAGGTTGAAACTATCTCCTATTATCATCAACAATCACGTTTGTTTGAACTGGAGCTCTAGTCCTTTGAATGAAAGTACTCGCTGAGGCATTGGTTAGTTATCCTTGTTCTCTTTTTTTCCAGTAAGAAATGGTTTAGATGTATATTTGTACTTATTGGAATAACAAAATGGAAAAGTCAAAAACAACAAAAAAAATTGTTTTAGACCAACAGTTTCTCGCCACTCTACTCCAATCACTGATCACAAATTCTAGTTCTTCAGTGATCGTGCTACCTGAAGAATCGTCCTCTTAGACCTGAGCTGTTCAATCAAACGTATCCGTGCGTATTTAATCCGAAATATTTCGCTCCTGAGTTCTTCTATTTGACCTCTCAGAGATTTACAGGAAGCAAGGTGACAAAGATTAGACTAAAGATTTGACGTAAAATGGCACCATTATCTTGCAGAATGTCTCAACCTAATTTCTTACTATCGGAAAAAACTTTCCAGACGTAATTTCTGTACCTTTTATCCACCTCTTTCGTTTAGAAAATACATGAAACTCTTTCCTTGAAGTTCCAGATCCCAAAAAGTCACCTAACGATTTCAAAAGACTTGAGGACGTAAAAGTAATAAATCAAAACACGAATTTATTTTAACCACATTTTATTGTTTTTTGTTTTTCTTTTTTGTGCTGCCTGTTTAATTAAACTGTTGAACTTTTTCGTTCCGTAAGCACAATATTCAAAGCTACAAAAAAAGCACAATAACAATTAAGGGACCATCATATAGTGGATCCTGAAAAAAAGTATTAAAACATTCGTAGCTGTAAACTACAGGTTTAGTTAATGGGATTTATGTGACGGGAATATCTTTATTCATAAACCCGAGATGAATAACCCGTTTTTAAGAAGACATTACTTGTATTTCTCTTCTTACATCCCACTCTCTGAGTTTTTTTTTTTTTTTTGGGAATTTTTATGAATTTTTTTGGAGTTTTTTGGATTTTTTTTTTTTTTGGAATTTTCCTTTTTTTTATTTCTACAGCTCTTGTTCTGTATTGATCTTGGCAGTTTATTTAACTGTTGCTTTCTTTGAGTAAGTAATGTAAAGCAAGTTTGCTGAAAGTAGTAGCAAACCAGTCGCCCCAAACTAAAAAAACGAACTCAACAAAAATAAATATACCCTTAAGTACGTTTGGGTACCTGAGTAAGCAAACGTAGATTAATTCTTAATCAACACATAAACGTAAAAGACATCTACGCTTTGTAGCAAAACAACGAAGTACAACTCTCTAAGACCGCACTACATGAGTAAATTTTGAAAAATCGTAACATGCTATCAATACTACTTCAAACGAAGTAGTATTGATAGCTCTAAAATCTCTTGTAACTGCTGTTCTGAAATGATCCCCTTTAAATTAACTTGCCCGTCTAAGCTTCAATAAAGACATATTCGATCGTAAGTCTCATGATTTACACTAGTACTCGCTTAAGGTAAATTTTCTCGAATGACGCTACCCCCCCTTCTACCAATCTGATTCGTTAACTTATTCCTCCTTCTAAAAGAATTTTTAACTTTTTCACGAAAACGGTGTAATTTTTTTTCTTTTTTGTCCCGCAGGAGCTTGTTTTAAGATTTTTTTGGCGCGTTTTTTCAAGTTTTCGTTATGATTTTTCAGCTATCCACAAAAAATATCTCTACAATTATAAATTTGATAACACTGCTGTCTTACTCTTCTACAACTAATCTTCACACAACATATCCTACAAATCATGCACGATCAACGGATACTATTCCGTTAACCCAACAAACGGTGAAAGTAAACAGGAACTGAACAGGAACGGGAACAACAAGGACAACAAAAACCACAAAGACAATAATAATAGGAAGAAGGGTGTAAATTTCGAAAACACCGCAACTACGAAAAATAGAAGTAACTGTTAAAACATAGAAACGATTAGCTATTTCATTGTAATGCTATTTTTTCGTTGTAAATCATTGCTGTTACTTTCAATAACCTCATTTTAGAATCTTTCAGGGATCTCTTGAGAATTCACACATAGAGAAGTACTTGTAAAAGTTGTAAACCTTGCAAGTTCAATTATTAAAAAAAATTTAAGTCAAAAAAATCGATCGGTGTCAAAACAGCGACAAGAAACAAACCAAAACTTCCTCAAACAAAACAAACACAAAATAAACAAACAATCGACTGGGAACATTTCATGACTCAAGATAAAAATTAAGAGATGGCGCGAGATACCTGGCAACCATTTAAGTCCAAGTTTTCAACGATTAAAGATCCGACAAATTAAGCGGAAATAAAATATTACTGCGGCATGAGAACAACACGCCCTAGGCCTCAGCCCTTGAATGGAGTAGAATTTTAGTTTAAGGCTTTCGATTATCTAAGCTTGGGATTGCATTGTGCAATAATTTTTAAGGTCGACATTGAGCCATTGTATAGGCTGTAGGGTCTCGGATCTGGCTCCGAATCAGCCCTTTGGTCATTTTCCCCGAGAACTTTTTTAGGCACATTTTCCTTTAACCAAAGCTCTGAGTACATAATTTTTTGAAAATAAATGACCACCTGTTGTTTCGCTGCGATTTCCTGTGATGGTGGAAACCAAATCAAATTTTAAGTTGCAAAGGTGATATGGAATTGGAATGCTTTCAATTGCCGAGTAAAGCAAAAGCACGCTGGTCGAGAATCCAGTTCCTCTTCCTCTCACATGGCAAACCTTTCTAACAATTGTACCAAAAAAAAAAAATTAACTTCCCTAAAATTAACTGAAAGGGATTACATGAAGACATGGAATTAAGACATCGATTGCGGAAGTAACACAATCTCCCTTCTGTGCATTCGCACACTTCATGAGTTGTCACGCGCATTAAAAAACTGTATCTAACTTCTCTGATTAACATGGTTATGTAGTCTTAATAAGTATAGCTAGTGTCAAAAATATCACTCAAAACACACCACCAAATGTTATAATCTCCCAACAAAACCTCAACAAATCTGAACTTCGTATGAAATATAAAATCGTGCATGTTCTATCAAGCAACTCAAATATGAATAGTGACAAAAAAAATTGAAATAACAGATATTCAACGTCAAGTTTAAACAAAGACAATATGTGTAACTGTGTAAACCATGATCACAAAAATTATTGAATGTGGGGCAATATGCCCTACTTTCCATTGAGTTGGTGAATAAATTCAAAATTAACTCCACCCCCTCAAAAACATCGAGGCCACATCGTTTCCATGTGGTGGCTCAAAGCAGTTCGCAGTACTTATGATTCGATGTGCTATTACTTCCACTCTGAATTGGCCGATGATAAAACAAGAGCATCAAACGAATGTCCAATCATTGGTTAATAAATGTCTCTTTCTCCGCGTATCATTATACCAATCACAAAGCCACCATTAGCTTCGACACTTTCTCGTTAAAAAAAGTAAGATTAAACTTAAACCTCTACTTTTCAATACCTAAACAAGTTGAGTTTTTAAATAACCACGTCATTTTTGTAATCAAAGACTCGTACTCCCGAGCTTACTTGATAACATTTAATAATCACTGAGGGAAAGAACTAAATACTTCATTTTTGTAATCAAAGACTCGTACTCCCGAGCTTACTTGATAACATTTCATAATCACTGAGGGAAAGAAATACTTCATTTTTGTAATCAAAGACTTGTACTCCCCAGCTTACTTGATAACATTTTATAATCACTGAGGGAAAGAACTAACGACTTCATTTTTGTAATCAAAGACTTGTACCCCGAGCTTACTAAATACAATTTTACAATCACTGAGGGCAAGAACTAACGCCGTTTTCATTGTGTAATATACAATTAAACATCGCTTAAACACGCGGGACGATGAGGACATACAACCCAATGATCAGACATCTGCTCGTTACCAATGTTTTACCACAGACCGATACAGGGTGAAAGTGCTGATACATCGAAACAATCTGAAAAAGTACCGCAAACTGTTGAGCCACCTTAGGAGATGCACCTCTCGATGTGTTTGAGAATTGCGTCGCTATCCTCTCCATTAAACTTCCTCAAGCAGCGAGGGCATTCTTCCAGTCCAACCACCTCCTCCTTACTGCTAACACCTGAATCTGATTCGACATCGTTTCCATCCAAAGGGGAATCTATAACGTCTCGCACTGTGTCTGGGTAAACTTCTCCTCCATGGTAAATGGAAGTTCTGGTTGCCTGCTGACTTGTAGGATGTGTGATTAATCCATGAGAAGGATGCATTGTACCCTACACGATGCGGAAGAGAAATGCCACTATGAGTAACTAAAAGGATTTAGAGTAGCACTTCAAATGTCAGGGAATACTTAGAGACAGTTTGCTGTTATAGCTCTGCGCAACAAACTATACCGGGTGAATACAGGCTCTAGCAACACTGCTTAGACTCATCTTCTCATGGCGACCATAAGGAGCCGCCGGTTGGGTATGCCTTCTGAAAGTGAGAGTGTGAAAAGACTGCGACTCCAAAAGCATCCTTAACACTTTCTGGTACCAACGGGAACAGTGCAGTTCATCTACCTACATACACCATTATATCATGGACGAGAAACGACGGGAAGCGAGACCTATAACACCTTATTAGCTTTGTTGTCTTTGAGCGTTTTTCGACTCAGTGACGTAAGACCAAAACAAACGTAATCACCATAGCCAATCAAAGAAAAGGAAACTATTAATGAAATTCAAAGTTAAAACAATTCACAAGTGCTTATAGCGCGGGAAAGCGCGACTGACCAAATCGCGATTCATTTAGTTTTGAATATGATCGGCTGAGGAAATGGCACAAGTTTTCTAAACCAATCTCATCGTGTAACCCAAGAAATTCCGGATTACCTTCGAGTTTAAATCGCTATAACTACAGTTATATACAATGCGATAACATGGATAACGCGCATACTAAACCACTGTGGAAACTGAATTAAAAAACCTTACCCTTGGGACCAAAAGAGGCCGCTTCGATTCATGGTTTGTGTAATCCTGGCCATATCTTCCATAAGGATTGTACTGGGATCGAGCACGACTGTATGGCTGGTGAGGAAAACAAAGGATGCAGCTTTCAAATAAATGAAAAAGAAAAACCTTTGGAGAATTCTGGTAATGATAAAACTGTTACTACATGTTACTTCAGCGCATTAAACTGCGACCACAAGTTGTACCTTTCTGACAACTTATTTTTATGGTCTCAAGTCAACTCAGTGATGGTGACATAAACACTTTCACAAAATACTTCACTACTTTTGTTGTTCTCTTCGATTAAACTTTACCTCTTTTTCCTGAATTTCAAAAGTATAGAGGTTTGTCTTTGGAGATACCTTGTTAATATTTGAAAACGAATGCCAGCCGTACTGTTTACTCTAAATATAAGCGGTTTAATCAGCGGTTTAGTACATCACATAGAACACATCTTTTCTGAAAACCAAGATTTAACTCAGGCGACCATTTTATGATTGATTCAGGTCGACAAATGGCGACTTAAACAAACTTGAGCTTGGACCTAGTACCTGATCATAAACCTGTTGCTGTAACTCGGTTTGTCCTCTCAACAGCCTGTCCCTTTCTCGGTCGTGTACCTCTTTGATGGCCTGGACCCTGGCCTGCTGTTCAGCTACAGCCCTGGCCTTCTGGGCCAACGGATCATTGTATGAGTAACCACCCTATGAAGAACAGCAAAGCGTACATTTTGTATATGTATAAGCTCCTCTGAAACCTTGTGATATTATTCCCACCTTCATATATATGTCCCCGCACATCCCAAAAACGCAAGTACACGTATAACTGCTGAGACATAGTCATTCGGGTTTCATACGTCAAAAGAAGAAAAAGAAAAACTTACTGCAGTTTGTTTAGCTCTTAATTGTTGCTGAAGGCTCTCTTTCTCTTTCTTCTCTCTTTTGAAGTCTTCTTCGTATATCTGGAGCTACGAAGAAACACAAAAAGATGCCTTTTTAACTGGTAAGACTACATAATTTGCTTCCTTGGTTTCCATGAACATCAAGCAGATACTGAAGAGTTAGAGAGGATTAAGCATTAAAGAAAAACATTATTATTATTCCTCGTTAAGCAAAATTACTAAAATGTCCAAAGAAATCTACTAAAAATCCACCAGAATTATAAAGAGGATGAAAAAGCTTCTCTTGTCCTAAAATAAGGTTGTTTTATAAACAAAAAAATAATTAGCTACTTAGTTGTTGCCCCCACATGAATTGTTTCGAAATGAAAGATTAGTGATTAGTATGTTATGGGAATATGAATAATAAGCTATGGTCACTACACAATAAACCCTGCCCCAAGCACATACCCCAAGCAATTACTTTTTAAAGGGAAACCAAGGTGAATCTGATCTTTACGATCAATCACACTTAAAACTCTGCAACTTGATAAAACATATATATTGCTTGTACAGAATTGTGCATGTACATTTGTCTGTCTCCAAGAAAACAAATAACATTTTCCAATCACTCTTGGAAAAGTACTTGCATCTAATTTCATGAAAATCACCACAGAAAAATGATGTTTATATACTTAACTTGAACATTCAATACCAGTTCTGAGCTTTATAACATGTTGTTCTCAAAAATTTTGACCAATTGTGACATTTCCATGTACATGCAAAAACGTACATCAATATAAGAAATACAGTATTATCAGTTATTACACTGTAAAAAATAAGTCTCTTAGTTCTTCCATTAGTAATAATGAGATTATGGAGAACTTGACATGTGACATTCACCACCATGAAACATGCTGGCCACCTGTGCCTCTGAAATTGCATTGTACACTATAAACTCTATCCACTGTTCCACTTCCAGAACCTACCCTACGGCTGAGTGATTGTTCAGCAGTGTGAGAGGGCTAGTCCCAGAGGACAAGCTGAGTTACTGACAGTTGTGGATCAGGTGGCGCTGACTGAGGAAACAAGTCAACATGATTGTGATGTCAACCGTGTTTTGAATCCTATTAATTAGGACCTTAAGCAGTCATGACAAAGACTGCACCACCCATAAGACCGAAACAAAGCAATAATTTTGCATGTTAGTTTTCAAAGGCTTTAGTTTCCTTGACATCACTGACAAAATTTAAAATTTTCACAGTTTCGAGAAAGGAAATATTGAAAGCCAACTTTCCACATGATATCTGTTCAGAACTCAACTCTGCCGTGACACGTCATGCTGAAGATGAGGTCTCACTCCTTAATAATTTAAACTCGTGTACATTGCACACAGTGTTAATTCATTCAACAGCATCCCTGGTATCGTCCATTCTGACTGCTTAAGGTCCCTAAGTTCACATGTGTGAGATCTACAGATAACATTATGTGACTAGCTGTGCTTTTGGTGCAACCTCAATACTGATAAAAAAAAAAAAAAAAAAACATTCACATGTGTCATACACGAGGACCTACTTTGCCAATTAGAAAAAAAATCCCTTAAACAGCTTGTGTTCATGACAGAATTAAAAGAAGGCAGTTACCAAAACAAAGGATACACACAAACAATGATTACTGATGTTATTACAAACACATTAGCAAGACAAAATGTAGCAACAAAGAATCTCACAAACACATTCTGGTAAAGGATTTTTTTTTTTTTATGTAGACAATCACCCGATGGGAAGACATATCCAAGGTGGATACTAGTACTAGGATCGCACCAACATTTGTTGCAAAAGCAACTTTATTCCATTTTTTTTTAACAGTACCTGCTGCTCAAGTGCTTGTAATTGCTCCTTCACAGCATCCAATTCTTCTTTGAGCTTCTCTTTTTCTGCCTGATTCCTCTCACGGTCTTCTCTTTCAGTGGCAAAATCGTCAGCATAGACTCTGAGCTGTTGTTTCAAAACTTCTATTTGATCAACAACCTCTGCAGGGATTTTCTGTCCAAGAACACTTGTACCAGGCCAGGATGGTGAACCTTCGGAGAGTGGGCCTGGGTGTGGTGCAGCTGCACCCAGCTGGGAGAGATGGGACAGTGGCTGCTCCAAGGAAGAGTGGTGGGGTGTTTGGGCCTGTGGACATGCAAAGATACAGCTAAACAAGAGTTTGAGAGTGCACATTTTTTAGGTTCATTTCGTACAAAATTGTCCTTCTCAGTCAGTGCCCCTACACAAAATTTTGGAATGTAGTAAATAGGTGTAAGTTAGGGAACCTATAGTCATTGGTATCTGTGGAACATTTGAGCAAGAGTCAAGTGATTTCCCAGTAAGAGGCCATGATGTTTCACTGTACATGTTACTGTTCCAATCTTGAAATCTTGAACAGTGAAAACTACTGAACCAGAGAAACTCAGAACAAATGCACATGTTGCAATCAATTCAAGCAAAATTATTTCAACTTAAGAAAAAAAAAAGATTAGAATCATGCTATATGGATTGTATCTGGACATGTTAACAAACCATTTGTGTGGGCCGGTTTCTTATCAACAGCTGCAAGCGATTTATTTCAAGTTGCTTCTGTTGTAACTCACTCTCCAGGTACTTGCAACGGTCATCCAATGCCTATATGAAATAAACCATTTAAATTGATATTGTCACAATGACTGCATAACAAACATATTGTCCCAAACACAAAGTAAGTAAGGCAGAAAGCTGAAGCAACCTCATCCATTACCTGCTTATCTCAAACTAATGTCACAAATAAAAACTTAACTATAACTATAATTTATAAGTAAGTTTACATTTTGCATGATAGCATAGAAGGTAAATGTAAGGTTACCTATTATGAACATGTCCCTTAATTGCTTCAGAATGACTTTTTGTGACAGAATATCAGATAGACAGTATTTTACACTCTCCTAATTAACCTTCCAGATTTCTACTGTCTACACATTTTGATAGAAAAAGAAACACTGGAATCAGCAAACGACTTCAATCAGCACTTCTGACAACAGATTTTCACTTTATCTTGCTTACTTTCTTCTCCATTGGTTCAGTCACTGAGAATTGCCCATGTCGTTTGCTAGTATCACTGAATTTTAATATTTCGATCTCCTTTTTCAGCTCATTGATGTCTTTAGTTGAAGCTGCAACAAGCAGTTTGTATTGCTCATCCCACTTGTAATTCACATCCAGAACCTAACATGATAAAAATTATGTTTACATTTCTGTGAAAGATATAAAAATCATCTCTTTCATAGAAATGTAAATGTGTAACCAAATAGTTAAAACTGAGCATTGATATTATTAAATACTTATTTATAGTAAGGTGCTATGAATTTCTATGATTGCTTTATTAAATGCCTTAGAATTTTGGGATAGTTACATATATTGTGACAGATGAAATTTAAAAAGTTAAGACTTTGTCTTGATCCTCTTAAACCATGCTATGCCAGAAAACATATTCAGTCAAATGAAGTGCAACCAAAGAGGATAAAAAACACTTAATATTCCTCAAGATAGTGCCTTTGTTAAAATCCCAAGTTGAAAAATACCTCTTCTTTCAGTTTGAGTGCCTCATCCTTCTCAGCCTTTGCCAACAGTAGTTGCTTCTGTAGCTCATTAACCTGTCGCTGTAACTGGCCACAACTCTCACATGTCTTGACCACAGTCTGCATCATTGGTGTCTTTACTATGATTTCCTGTTACCGCAATGAAGATTAGGTCATTAAGCATTAATATCTAGCATGATAAGCTCCTTGCATCTAGCTAGCACTTTTTATTATAGAACAGCTTAATTGTCTGATGCTATATAGAGTAACACTACTTAAAAAACAAAAGTACTGTAGAAGAATTAAAAACTAAAGGTTCAAAACTCTGCCAGAAGATTTTTTCTTGGCTGCAAGAAGTACAACCACATTTCTGAAGACAAAGAAAATGGCTCCCTATTATTGATAAACTACTTTGAATTGATTCTATTATAATGGTTCACTTAAGTCCAAATGATGGAGCCTTTGACTGTATCAACAAGGAGTCCTACAGGCTAATGATTAAAGTGTGTAAGTCAGCATTTCTTGCTGTATGCATGCATGTAAACAATGTACCATCTTTCTTATTCTGCATGCATGTATATCATATACAACATCTGCATGCATGTATATCATATACAACATCTGCATGCATGTATATCATATACAACATCTGCATGCATGTATATCATATACAACACCTCATCTGAGAGAGATCTTCCTGCACTTTTCCTTGAACTGCCTGACAAAGGTCCACTGCCTGCTTCAATCTCCAATGCCTCCTCCCTTTTCACTAAGACAGCTTCTTCACAGAGCTTTATTTCATCCATTAGCAGCTCCATTTCTTCTTTGCTTTTGCCCAATTTATCTCTCAGTTGATGCACCACATTTTCATGCGAGGCCTGGAAAAATTGATAATGGTGCAAACATAAAATTGTTTAATAATTATTTCAGTAGATTTAGGTTTCATTTTGCAATGAAAATCATATTTTAAAATATAAATGAGGTAAATGTGTAAATTCAATGGATATATACAGCAAATTTTAATTGAAATGATCAATGAACCAAAATTTGACAGTCTGACTGTCTGTTTGTCTGACTAATTGTCCGACTGATTGACTGCCTGACGAGGTGTCTGAATGGCTGACTGAGTGACTGGCTGCCTATAGTAGCTGACTGACTGCATGACTGATGGACTTACATGTACTCATTGACTAATGAACTCACTGACTGAGTGATCAATTTATTGATTTTGGAAATATGATTGACTGATTGGCCCATCAGATAAGTGATGATGCTGAGACAAACAAACCTGCTCTGCTTCCATTTCAACAAGCTTTTCTCTCAATTTTTCCTCCTCTGAAACTAAAGCACTTGAAAGGGTTTCCCTTGTACGAGCCTCCTTACTGTAATCATTAAGCCTTGAAAACAGCCTTGTGAGCTTCCCTTGTAACTCCAAATCTCTGCCATCTCCAGGTAATTGTTCAACACCCTCCCGCAGTTTCTGTGCCTCTCCTTGTAGGTGATCAAGTTCAGTCATGATGTGTTGATATTCTGCTTGTATCTCCTTTGAAACAACAATTTTATGCATAATCTTCAAAAAATAGTTTTAATTAATAGCTAAACCACCAGATCCAAGCAAGTTTGTGTTCCACTCTCACTGGTACATATGTAGCCCACACGGTTGAAAATGACACAGCCCATCCGCAATTGTATTAGACACATTGTGAATTCCTTCCATTCAAGCTGCACGGCAGTGGTTTCAATACTAGGTGAACTGTAGAACAATCTATGTCCTACAGCACAGTCTCAGAATGAACACTTCAGGGACAATATTTATAATTATTCTAAATAATAGTTAATATCTGCAGTGACTGTTATTTATGATGGGGAAATGACTAAGCTATTTTATATTAAAAAAACAATTGAAAATTAGGGGATACATATTCTTCTTCTTAAAAACAATTCAACTGAAATAAAAGTCACATCAAGCTACTCTGAACTTAAATGTGGTAACTGTTGCTGCTTGTAACTTCAAGTAATAAACTTAGTGCAGAGTGAGCAAACTTATAATAATATTACGTTCTTCAGACCTACTTAAGGAAGACAATCCTTCCCTGATTTTCTAATATGTTATTGTGTCCTTTTTTTTGTTATTTCTATTTGTTTTATTTTTTCATGTGCTTTTTTTTCTATCATTGTTTTTTATTGATGCTTTTTTTTTGTGGTTGCTGTTATGTTTCATTGGAATTTTTTTGTTTTTGTTTTTGTTTTCTCCTTATTCTGTTACATGTACCATAAATTCAAGAGTACTATATAATTAAAAATAATAATAACTAATAATTGCAGGAAAAAATTATGAATACATTCTATGAATATGGTGGGTTCTATCTGATTGACGAAATGAAGGGCAACTCAAATGTATAACTGTGAAGCGCATTTTACCATTTCCTCTGGACGATGTTGAAAGAACTGGCATTTAGCACGAATAATTTCTTTTGCAATAAATCAGCAGAGGTATAGAAGTGATTGTTAATTCTGGATCAGAGTGTTATTGAATACCTTAAGATGAAATTCTCCAGGTAACAAAGAGGGAAATCCTGCTGAGAGGGACTGAGGACAGGAGACTGTTGTGACATTGACAAAACCTGCAGCCTCACTTCTTTGACTAGGCATTGATGAGTGGTAGGTGTCACCTTGTTCGTGAACTGTGCTTTGCCCATCATCATTTACAGAAGTACAGACTGAAAGATCTGCAAATTGAGTTGAAGCAACACCATTCTGTGTCAAGCCCAATTTCAACTGTTGTATTTCTTGTTTGAGTTTGAGATTGCTTTCCTGTGTATCCTGAAGAACTTTGCCTGGGAGATAAATTGCACGGAAGGATTAAATGTTTATCAATCACACAATTAGCAGACATAAAATTCAATGCCACATTATCACTATACATGCTTACTGCAGCAAAAAAAGGAAGACAAAATAAACTTACAAACAACAATTTAGGGAAATATTGACCAAATCCCTTCTGTTACTTATCACAAATCTATCATTTCAACAGCTGTGCTTCAGGTGACTAAAACAATAGTGCCCAATGTTTATACTATCATTTGTTCCATTGTTTCTTTCCTAAGGAATTTAAGCACTTGAGTTTGTTTTTGAATCAAAGCTGTGCACTCTTCTCCAGAGTAATATTGCCAAAAAAGCAAATTCTGAAAATATATTGCAAAGTTGTATATTAAGAAGTCTGTAACTTACACCAGAAAAATATACACAATACAACTTAATTATATTTGGTATTTAAGGCACTCTACAAAACCTATTGTTTGTTGTGATTTTCTGTTAATGTGTCTAGGCATGAAAAGCTAGTTTCCATTTCAGAGTTTTCAGACGGATTATTTTGGTGACATAAAACTGAAGGGTCTGATTAAAATCTTCTTAAATCAGTTTGAAATGAGATTATTTTTGCTACCCAACAGCTAGGTTATCTGATCCAAATGGTCAATAAGTATTGCTATGTTTTTCTCTAGGGTGGACTTTATGTGAACACAATAATATAATTAAGGCCTTATTATGAGCTAGCATGAAATATTCTTATCCTCACACAATCATTGTGGTGTATGGTAATACAGGCTATAAGCCTTCTGCTTGTTTACCTCCTTTGTCTGACTTAATACTTAACTTAGCTACACTTAATAAATAATTTCAACTGCTTGATTCTCTTACCTAGAACTTGTACTCCTTGAGCACGAACATTCAGAGCCTTGTTGTCCAGTTGCAGTCTTGTAATTTCACTCTGTAACCTCAAGACTTCATCTGTTGTGCTTATTGTCTCTGGCGATTTTTCCCATTTGCTCATTGTCAACAGTCGCCAATTTGAATATTGCAGTTTTGCGCGTAACTTAGACAGCCTTTATGATTTGCTCACACCTAAAATATAACCAAGTAGATCTCAATAAAATTGAAACAAAGATGAATAGAACTAGCAAGACTGATTTCTGTGGAATTTTCAATTTGTTTAATGTCTGTAGATAAAGTTATAGTGTACCTTAATAGGAGCGTAAATCGACTGTTTATACCATGTCTTTTCTGTAACATCTCCGAGGGTTTTTTATTTCTTAGCAATCATGAGGTATTTTGAGCAATATGTCTTAGTACTTCCCTGTGTAAGTTCTATTCTTAATTCAAGACATTCGTTTTAAACTCCCAAAGGCAATAATTAGAAAACGCGATACAACAAGAGCTAATCGGGTCTATACTTGAATATTGACCCAGTTCCAAGTTCCCTTCCTCAAAGTTTACTGACAAAGGAAAAAAGATAAAAGCAAAATTTTCCTGTATCAGCTTTATAGCGTGGTGGGGATGAATTCGAAAGTGAAGATAAAAAAACATGCTTCGCTAACAAGAATTCTAAAGAAAGACAAATAATCTGTAGCCTATGTTCCTTTGTTCTAGCTCCCAAACATATTGAAAATATGCTGAAGCTAGCTTAATACGCGCAGACATACGGATTCCTAGTAAGGAAATGTACAGAGATCACTGGGAAATTCCCCTGAAATAAACAGGAATTTGTTCTATTCCAGTTTTAACGAAACGGGAACTCGAAAATGACGGTAAAAACCCCAGGACATTCATGATTTATGAACGGAAATTCTTTGGCGATTATTCACAGGGTCGGATATAAGTTTCTTAAATTCCAGCACGCAGTAAGATACTTGCTACCAAAAAATAGAAAAATCATGGATTAATCAAGAATTTTTGCTACCTACGTGTGACAAACCTCAAACAGTACATCTCAGAACGAATACCGTATCGTAGGTGGTGGATCCTCGATAAGCTCTAGTCGTTCGTCAAGCTTTGTAACTAACTCGAATTTTCCGAAAATTGTAGCCGATGTGTATCCCGGATTTAACAAATTTTTCATTTAGGTCAGTTTTTAGGACAAAAGGAGACCAAAAGAAGGGCCTCTATGGTCCCTAAAGCTTAAAATCCCCAGGCACGAAAGACAACGACGACAACGCAAGTACAAAATGGCGGATTGTAAAATTTGCTGTCGACTCTGCCGAAAGGGGGAATCCCCTAGTTAAAAATACGGACTCTGATTGGCAGTTTTAAAAAATGCTTTCTTTTGATTGGTAGATCAGTACAGTATATAATTACCAATGGCTTTCGAGCAGGGAGCCCACGCGTGTCAGAGTTTCAAACCTAGCTAAAAATGCTAGGAATATTCACAAGACCCAATAACGGAACACACCAGCGATAAAACTGAGAACTCATTTTTAAAAAGCATTAAGGACTGCTGAAGAGCCATATCATCTCACAAAGTAAGGCAAGTGAATTAAGACTCCAGTTAAAATTCATCCATGCCTTGACCATTTTGTGATCATCTCGGAGTTTATCTCTTTCTCTGGGGGGCTTTAGTGTAGCAGTATTGCACTTGATGTTCCGTGCAGCAACAGCCTTTAAAATAAATAATGTTATTCTGAATAGCTCAGGTAACTGGCGGCTTTGTGTGTGTCTTAATGTTGACCTGTACAGCCGCCTACTCGTTATTGTTGCTCCGTAGCATTTAATTCCATCAAGAGCACGTAAAACCGGCGGAAACACAGGCTGTATTTTAAATTTAGAGTAAGATCAGAATAAACTATGATATTCAATACAAGTTGCCGCTTCGCCTCGCGAAATGGATTTTCTGTGATTTCTTTAGACATTGTCTGTCAATAATGAACCCTATGTTGCGTGACATAATTTACAACATGTGGTAGTGAGGTGATTTTGATCAAGGACCAAATTATGCATATTCTAGGCTCGAGCGCGGGAAACTTCCTGCTTTGCAATTACATCTTCCTGAACTTCCAATGTTGAGATCAACGATAAAGAAACATAGAGGAAACAAGACAAAGGTGAAAATGCGAGGGGAATACGGAATAACTTGACCACTATTTCCAGAAGTATCGGAACAATGCAACTCAATATTCAAGATCATCGAGCTAAGCAGTTGTAGCTGCTCGTGAAAGTTATCTCTAAAAGACCTCTTACTTTGCAAAAACAACATGCTGTAAGTTATTAAGTATTAAACGTTCTCCAGGTAGATCATAAACGAGTAGCTGAGTTGAAAATCTCGTGGAACTGATTCCCATAAGTATAAAGGGTCATCTGCATGTGGCTGACAAATGGAATGACTTTGTCTCGATAATTAGCGTAGAGTCTTCATGGGAGCAGAGTCTGAAGACCAAAATGACTAACCTGGCTTCCCTGGTTCAATTCATAAGGAATCACGTAAGTGCAGTAGGTGATATAGAACAAATAGTGTCGAGAAACAACTGCGAATCCCGCGCTAACTTAAATCAAGGTTTCGTGATAGGTCAAAGAAGCGAACGATAACAATTATCTTTGCAAATCATCACCTTCTCCACAATGACCCAGACCCAGTGCTCCTCTAGACTGTGCTCTGTGCTTTCTAGCCACCCGCCCCCCCCCGCTTGCAGAAAATTCAGCTAACTGGAAGAGAGTGCATTACCAAGACGCGAACCACGTATAAAACGAACAAAAGTGGCGCTGATTCAAAACTGCTTCAACACGTACTTATGTGCTGATAGCTGAATTTTTTTCGATTTTTTTCTAAGAAATTGATTCGCACTGAGCCTTTCAATTTTTGTTATTATTTTTGTTTTTGTTTAGTATGTCATTTGTTTTCTTTGTTCTTTCTGTGGTTTACATCAGTTGAAACGTATTCGCAGAATCCCTTAGCAGCCCACATCGATGTTTTTCGTCGTTTGCAGCGCGCCTCCGTGCTATCATGAACAACAATATCGGGTTAACCATATTAATTTCATAGAAAGAATTTATCTCGATTATCATATGATTCATTGGAAAATAAAAACTATTCCGCTAATCCCTTTCGCGTGCCGTTCAGGATGCTCATATGAGGACGGTAAACACGTTGCAAATCACGTACGGTTTTGATTTAGATGGGCAAGACATAGAACATTTGAATCATTGCTTCCGAGTATGACTTTATACGAAAATGGTAATCTAGAGAATAAGAAACTTCCCAGAAAATGCGGTAGTACGTACAATTAAATCTTAGCTTCTCGTTGCACTGCTCGCTCACACAACCCTGTGTACTATTACTGCTTTCCAAGCTTGAATGAATCGGAAATGAAAAACAAAATGAACAATTTTGCACTTTGTAGTCCTGTCTTTGTAAGCTTTTCACAGAAGACTGTTTTGACTTAATCCATGGAAGCTCAATCGTGGGTGTCATACGGGCTACCTTTTTCACATTTGAAGTATATTAGTGTGATCAATTACATCACTAATGAAGATGAAAACAATTTCTGCAAGAAATACTAACTACGTATTTTCCCCTGAAAACATTATTGGATGGGCCTTAGCAACTCTAACTATAATAATTCATTAAAGGGAGAGACTATGATATTTTGGCTAACTTCTGGTAACCACAGAGTAGATCATGGATTCGCTGACGCACAACATTTTGACAATTTCAAGGAAATAACAAAACAATACATATATTGGCTTGCAAGGAAAACTTACAATAGAAGGAAGTACTTAACTGGAATACCTCTGAGTAATGAATATTGTAACAGATGATACATAATGACTTGAACCATTGTACTCACAAATTTCGAGAAGTTGCTGCCAGACTCCACCGTAGACCAGGGAAAACTTCAATTGGAAGTAATATGTTTCTGAAAATAATCCGAAAATTAAGAATACTTAGATGAAAATAGATTGTGACCGAAGCAATGAACATATAGTTATGTCTCGGAGCTTAATGTGTGCTGCAGTGGTGGTCTACTAAGTAACCATAACGCTTCCGCTACTTTTGAACAATTTTGAACAACATGCAATCAGAATGAAGAATGACTCAACTGAGAACTATATAATTAGTATACTTGAAGATCTCTATCGACCAATGACGTCTTTCTGCCCGCAAAGATATTAAATTGTGCAGATAATGGTGATATCACTGACTGATTTTCAAACTACGGTATGACTAGACTAGAATTATTAACCTGGGTTTATTCTATGATGATATAATCCAAAGAGTGTATTATACAGGTTCTATTAAAGTTTCTATGTTTCTACATAAAGCACGATCAGTCTCCGTTCCCCTGCTCTCATCGGTTGTAATAATACTGGCAAGCCGATTAATTCCTTAAATATGAAGTGTTACTTAAAATGTTGGAAAGAAGAGGTTACTTATTTCAAGATCTCCATAAAAGCAAATGAATTACTCCTCTGTTTAGATTTCTTTCCATAATTTCCCGTTTTACTAGCTCTTAAATCTTTTAAAAGCTTCTTTGAGAGCTACTACAAAGTTATGAATAAAATAGCTAAGTTCTCAATGAACTGTGGTGCTGCTCCGGTAGGAAAGTACAACAAGATAACTTCAGTTTTATCAACTGAGCTAACAATGTAAATTTGCAACCGTAGAGTTTCAAAGCTGACGATTCGAGCGTCAATCCTTCGTCAGATCGATAGAGTTTAGTCTTTATATAACATGCGATATTAACAGACTAACAATCAAAGGCGGAAGTTAAGCATTTATACCAGTTATTATGGCTTACCTTCCAGCTCACTAAGCTGCAATTGAAAATAACTCGAAGAGCGGCTTTTCTATTTTCAGTAATATAAACTAATACAAGAGAAACGATTCTGGGTTTTTCCAACGGAACAAGTTCACCTTAATAATTGTGTGCTGGTTATGCTAAGACGAACATCTGTTAAGTCGACATTTCCCAGAAAAAGAGTCTATTTTAGTTCGTATAGTAACGCATTCATCCAATAAGATTCTCACACCTCATTTCCGTTTAACACTTCAATACCCAGAAGGCGCTGAGCGCTGAGCGCTTCCGTACCCAATTTTGATGTTTGCACACAAAGTGCACACAAACTTTTCATTCCGGCCACTCAGGACGTTACAAGCGTCATTCAGTTCGAGATGGCAGTTTCTTCAATGTTAAGTCAGTAAAAATATGAAATATTCAAAAGATTGTAAGATTGATGTCAAGAACTCGACCACAGATCCTTGAAAAAAGCAAAAACTTTGTTCCCTTGTTATTCATGCTTTTTTGTGAAAGAGTGACAGCAGTCCAAGAACCTCCGGAACGAGGCGGAGTAAATGACAGAAAGAATGCAATGTGAGGACTACCGCATTCTTTAAAGCTGAAAGGTTTGAAATAATTCTCTTAAAAGTAGAAAGGAGCTTTCCGCATTGTGGAAAATGTTGGAGTTTGCCGTCACAACTTTTTTTAGTCAGATGAGGTAAATGCAAGAACGATGAAGTATATCGATGGCAAGATTTAATACTTACGTGTCCGTACTTTATCAAATAATCCGGAAGTCACCCAGTCTTGCCGAGACCCAAAGCTCACAACATTCAGTGAGGAGAAGCGTTAGTTTTACATGCACCCTCGTGAAGATACATTAAAAATTGGACGAAACCGAAATCAAAAACGAAACTAGTTTATATCAGTTTCAGACACTACCTCAGATCGCTTTTAGGGTGATTACAATGCCATATGGTAATACAGGGATACTCCCTGATCGATAGCGCCTAAGCGCACTAAGCAGTATCATAACAAAAACATGTCTCAGCTATAAATTCAAGTTTTAACTGTCTGTAAGAAATAGTGGTTTTTAAATCAGTGATTTCCCTCCCCATACAGCAAAATGATGGTGAGTTTGTGTTCTGCGAGGGAAAACAATCTTTCAATCAGAGTGATTTTGTATTGAAACCGAAAAGTTAAAACACCATCCAGTAATCGATGGGTTCGGTCTGGTGGAGTTCATTTTTGTTTTCACTATCGAATGGTGTAGTTAAGTTACTAGATCAACTAATGAATAATCCCCTAACTGGTATCTCTTTTTATTCTCATCACCTGTCTGTTTGAAATTGAATTGATATGGTAAAGTGAAATTTTACATTGTTACTCGCGAGAGTTCAACGGTTGACCGAAGCGCAGCTGACTTGAGAAGGGGAATATCCCATCGTTACTTTCTTATATAAATACTGAATCGGATAACAACCACTCAATATTCAAATAACTTCTGTGTTGCTTGTTACTTTGGATAACCGAAAGTGCTCAGTCTGACTTAAAAAGGGACATGACAAACCCACAGATAACAGAACTTGTTATAACCTCCTTTCTTGTCAGGGAAAAGGCATCCATTTTGATCATGAGGAAAGTGATGTTATTTGTTGTCAGTATTCAGTCATCACTGTTTAGCTTCACTACTTGGACTGAAATTTCAGTTGAAACCAAAATGGGGAAAAACCCTTGGTAATCATAATTACATTACTGCAGTTTGCCTTCGACATTGCCCTTGATTGTGTTGTCAAATGTTTGAATTTGTACAGTACTAATTCCGCCCACAAGGTCCACATAAATGATGTCATACAACTCAGCCTTGTCACCTCTGATTCAAAAAAAGGAAGTGCACTCCCATGCAATTGTTTTCATCCTGAACGCAATAAATTATTACTGAAAGTGGTATTAAAGGGAAACTTTTCAGATATAACTCAAAAGGAATCTAGAAAAAGGTCTTTCTCGAATTATTCAAGGAGTTAAACAAGACAACATATGAAAATAACAAGATTGAATAACTGAGATGCGGTAATAAAAGTGTCACCTTTGTGAATTAAAGTCTAACAATGCGATTGAAGTCCTAGACTTTGAATCTGGACATAGAGCGTAGTTTTCTTGCATTCAGCTTTAAAGAATTTGACTGATCTGCATGTCTAATACTCTTCTCGTTATTTATATTGATAGCTGCCGAATCCTGATAGTTAAATTTCATGCATTTGACAATTTGAGCAATTCATAAATGGAGCCATTCTTGTTTTGTACGTTGGTGAAACGATCGGTTATTTCCGATGAGAGGAGATGTGGCAAGGAAGTATATATTCTATGTCTGCTGTAACTCATATTACTGTCATTAATTTACTAGCTGCCATCCTCTCTGATTAATAATAAAAATTACAATTTCCTTGATTGTGATTGGCTTAAAAAACTCCTATTTTCTATTAATTCACTTGCCAAGTTGTTATCGGACAGTGCGTTATTGGACAGTTCAGTAAGCCAATCACGTTCACAATTATAGTTTAAATTAACCAATCACATTCAAAGTTGTTGTTTAAACCAACCAATCAAACAATTAAACAATTAACGCCTCCTATGTCTATTAATCAATGCAAATTTTCCCTTTCTTTCATGAGCTTGGTTTAACTATAGCTTGTATTGTTTTGTACGGTTAGATCAAAGTGTCCGATGTAACCCTTTTCAAAGTACCAAATTAATGTGCATGACTTCACGTGAACTGTCCTGGAAGAGATTCTAGCTCTTTATGATTTCTTTTAAACTTTTCGTTTGGTAGTTGATAAGTAAACAGTAACCAAAGGAATGCTCTAAGGTCAATAACCCGTTAAAATCTCTTATAGTGAAGAAATGTTACTGCAGTTTCATAATTCTGCCTGCGTGACACTAGTTCGTGCGAAATCTTTACGAATGCAAACATGATAAATAGACTCTTAGAAACATGGACATCAATGAACAGGTTAAAAATTCAAAGATACTTCCCAACAGTCATCGTTGAATGAAGATACAAATATTTTCACTGCCATTTTCTTCTTCTACATGATTGTAAATCTGCCATTTCGACCGAACAGTTGTAATCAAAGTAATCAACCAAGGAACTTTTCTCAACAGCCCCAAAACATTTGAAAAAAACCGATCCTACCTTTACCTTTCGAAGAAGGAATGAGAACATCAACTTTCAACTAAATGGCTTCGTTTGCAAAGGAGGTTCTTACTAGCGGAACGCGCACTTTGTAACGTTAATGACCGTTATTTTGAGCGCAGTAAACAACACCATATCAAGCGGTCAGACGGGGATTCCCCGTTTCTGCTCAAATGCGCTCAGAACTAATAAAAAACATCATTCTATTTCATTTAACAGGTTTAACCGCTCCGAGTCAGTAAGATGCATACCACTGATATATGCCACGAGATCTTTTCAGTATACGGTCAATTATCCCTTGGCGTTTGAACTAGTAAAATCAAGCAGTATTAAACATTATCGATGAAAAACGAATATTTTAAATGTCATTTGTAAATATACAGACAATATAAAAACTGACGTCAAGAGAGAGCCATTATTGATTGAGTCGCCAAAACCGTTAGGCGTTAGCCATGTTCTTTCAAGACTTTTAGATCGAGCTATTCGAAGTCGAAGCTCCCCAAATAGAAGCAAAACGAATAAAAAGACAAACGTTAAAAAATATAGGTAATTATAATTTCAATGATAATTATAACCTTTATAAAGTATTAGGCACAGAATTGCACAATGAATTCGCCTAGCCAGTCGCAATTTTCCTTACATTGGTGTTAAGTGTTTAGCCAGTTAGTAACAAATTGCGAGATTTTTCGAGATTTCAAAGTTCGAATTTATTGGAGTCTCACTATGATTTTCCTAATTGTGATTGCCTTGTGTACTTGATGTGCTAAGTTTGAGAACTGTTTTGGATTTGCCAGTCAAGAATTGATCGTGTGACTGGAAGCATTAACTATATTGTTGTTCATTTGTGATATTCTTTTAAAAGTGTTTATGGCAACAAATCATTGATTTCCCACGGTCAGTTGGTCAGGATGTCTACTCATGTCTACCGATAGTGAATAAAAAAGCATCAACTATGGAATTCGTGATCAGTCGATCAGTAATAAAGAAAGGGAGTTTACCAGAGTTACACAGAGTGAGTAAGAGTCAATCAGAATCAAGTCAGAGCGTTTAAAAAGAAAGGTGAAGTAAATTTGCCGTAAGACAGAGATTAAAACAGAGAAAACTGGAAAAGGACAGGTCGAAACTCTCTTGTGCCTTTCGCTACGCGAGATACGCTCTGCAGACAGATTTCTTCGAAATACGCGTCAACATTATTAATGTCCTCTAATGATGTCTAGATATATATATGTAAATGTACCTTCTGATGTTGACCTGGAAAACGGCCTGTTGTTTACTTCTCTGCTCAGTTTCAAATATTAGCCTCGCTATAACAATATTCCTACTGCATCTAAGTTTTTGGTACTTAATTTTGGAAACTTATTTAGTATCTAATCTTGATGACTAATGTTGTTCCTATAGTGGTCATTTCAGAAAAAAAATTGTACTTACAATTAACACAAGCGCTTACGTCAAAGTGTTGGGGCAGACTATACAGTCAATATAGTGGGTCTTAATGGGATCAACAAAAAATTTAGCCGTTAGGCCTAAAAATGAACCAATTTTAACCGTTAGTCTTTAAAATTTAACTGTAAAAAAAAAAAAAAAAAAAATTCAGGTGAAAACAATGGACGTATATTAATAACATTTAGCCAAAATTTTAACCGCTATTCATAAAGGCCATCATCCCATTGAGATCCTAAAATAGATGTGGTATTGATCACGCAAAATGTGGCGGCCACAAACAGCTAGAAATTCGTTTCTTTAACGTTTCAGTCATTGCCCTACAAAAAAAATCAACTTCCAATAAGGAGTCTTAACAAAGAGGGACAGAATTTAGTTATCTTGGCCAAGGAATATCCGGCCAGAAGTCACAAAGTACGCTAGAAGCTCCATCAGCAACAGGGTGTTCATAGAAGTATTTGTAGTTAATGTATAACATGGAGATAATTATGATCCAAACATGATCCTTGTGCAATAATTGACTAGATAAAGAGGTTGTTGTGTTAGCATTGACATTTCGAGCGATAACTTGCACGGGAACAAGCTTAATTTTCGGTTAAATAATAAGGCTGCTATAGATTTATTTGTCTCGCCGCAAACCGCAGACCCCCAGCAACGCAGGCTAATTGTTAAACAAATCAATTCCTTCCAACGATTTTTAATTCGGCAGCGGTCCTTTCTATTTAGCTTCTCTTCTGTTGGAAAACTCTCCTAAAATAATTTTCGTTGCAGACCTTTGTTATCTAAGCAATGTCGGTGTCTTTTTCTGTTTCGTTTCCGAGGGAGGCCAATGGGCGGACATTGTGGGTTTAATTCCGCTTGGAGACAGGGCGGAAACAAAAAAAAAAATTAAAATGCCATTTACAAGAGTTTGCGAAACGTTTATTTTTGAGTTCTTGATAGGTAAAATGAAGTCTGAATTTGGCTGATCCGCATCTAAATCAAATTGCACCTACTGCTAATGTTCAAGGCCTCCTTTAATGGTGATTGCCCGCGTTCGGTAAAGACACGCTAAACTGAAGCACGTTTTACGATAGTGCTTATTCAGCGACTCACGCACTGCTATCGTCAGCGACTTTCGACCGAGAGAAAAATAAAAATTACCTAACTCCATCGATGAATATTTTCAAAGTTTCAACTTTTAATTCAAAGAGCTTCACAAGAAGAGCTAATTTATTCTATAGAAACGAGTTTTAAAAGAAAACGATGTGAACAAAAGAAGACGTAAGAATCAACTTACACGTCATCTCTTTGATATCATTTCTCTTTGAACTAGCTTACGTGTAGCCTACACGTAGGCTATCTTTGAACATTATCTGAAATAACGCATTTACTACAGTTTGTACCATTTCCAATCTATTTTTGGAAAAATATTTAATTAGGGATTCGGGCTCCATCGAAAAAGCAGGAAAGAGATAGAACAGGGAGAAACAAAATCAGAAAATTCAACAACAGCTCTGCTGTAGAACACACGAAACGAACCGAGAGAGAACTTGACTGGCGGCAAACACATGGTAGAGACGTGGGATTCTCACGCCGGTTTCTTTTGACGCCTACTCAGCAATATGGCGGCCAATGCTGATATTGTTTAATTTCCTTTTAATTTATTATTTTTCTTTCTTGCCTACCCGAACAGGCCATAGGCGAGTTTGTGAACTCTAAAAGCTGCCATTTGCTATAACATAATCCCCCGCTGGTATCAGAGATGAAAAATTTGTCGTTTGCTTTGATGAAAATAAGCGTACCATGGCCGGAGAAGAACTCAAATGATTCAAAATATCTTCGAATCTCATTTTAATGCATGTAACTGCAGATTAAACTGGTTGATGCAACACAACCAATAAACTACGGACACTATGATAAACAATACTTAAAAGGAGATATCAAGAAAAACAGCACTGATTTGATGGGAGATCAACTAGCTGTGTTATTTACTTACTTTCACGGAAGAGAGTCGCTGAATAAAGCGAGAAAGTCGATCTTTTTGTAAATTAATTCCCAGTCGTCACTCTCTTTTCCCTAAAACCAATGGAATATCAAAGTAGAACGAATAATCAATTTAAAGCTTCGCTTTTCTCAATCTGTTTTTGCCAAGACTCAGGCTAGTACAATCTTAGCAGGTTTACTCGACCGTAAAGTTTTCTGCAAAGACGCCGTACTGATGAGATTCGGGGGAATTCCCTGAGATCATTTACCAGTGACATATGACCACTCCTGTGGTGGTGGTCATAAGCTGGTCCTTGAATGTATTTTGAATGTCCCCCACCACCTCCGCCAAACTGTGCGCGGTAAGAATTGTATACCATCGGATAAAAATGGATACCAACGAGCAGCCGTAATATCCGCTACACCTTCTATATCGAATTTCGAAGACAAAAATATTTCAGTCGTATTTCGCAAGAATATTGTTAGAATACAACAATACATCCACCAATCAATTGGTAAACGTGATACACCGTAGCTCCGATTTAAATAAAAAGCTATGAGTTTATGATCAGTTGAGCGTGGTATGAAAGGGAAGCGAAAGGCGGACAGTAACACGTGGGAAGGCGCATTGTTGTCTCCGGTGGCTATATTAGAAAGAGCAGATGCTAAATGCACTTTAAATAACAGTCAGAAAAAGAGCCTACGTGAGTCAGTTATTCCTGACGAACGCCAAATTACACGAAATGTTATGTACTGCGATAAAGAAAATTTTTCTTTGTTTTTGACAATCTACAAAAAATAATTTTGGATTTACTTGGGTAGAAAGGAAACGAAGCTGTACTCCATAAATTTGAAAATCGAAAGTCTTCAAGCTGTAACCATCTAAATATTTCACATGCTACATTATCACGATTTTGATTTTTTTTTAATTATTGAAAACATATTTGATATATGCCTCGGAAGATTCTACATTAGAGACAAAACACAAACGCCATAGGCGTCTGCATAACCGACGAGAGCACGTGGGAGGTCCGCGAGGGTTCAGACTCCGCGTAGACCTCTTGCACGCTCATTTTGCGCGTGTACTGGGTACAATTTCCGCCTACAATTCCGGTTGTGGAACCCCTTAAATGAGCTGTATCGGTGGGTAAAAATGTTATCTGTTATCTGTTTCTAAAAATGTCGATTGCATGCACAAATTCTTTCACGATTCGTTGTTAAGTCATTATTATTTCTACTCTGGGTAGGCATTCATAGAATTTCCGCACAGCCCCATACTACATTATGCATTCAGTTCTCGGTTAGAGAAAACAATGACAAAAACAATACATTGCCTTTGGGAAAACAGATTTGTTTACAATAGTATGGGGCTGTGCGGAAATTTTACCAAAAAAATTGTTCGTTTGGCTCGAACCACCATGAGAACTTTATACGAAAGCCACAGATATAACTCAAGCGTTACTAGGTAATGAAAATGGCGAGTGCGAACGCCGAAAAAAAGCCTGATTGAACTTTATAACGCGTTTGCAGCAATTTTGCCGATTCAGCAACTCTTACGACGACCTCACGTTTTTGTTATGTTCTGTTAGGTTGATAAACTTTTTGTTCCATAGTTATGGGTCACTTGCACAGCGTTGGTAATGTTTCCATTCACATACTACAAGTTACGTTGGCGATAAGTACATCTGCATCAAACAAGGCCGTATGATGTTCTTTTTCCGCAGAAATTTTGCAAGGCGTGCATGCCTTGCATGCATACGCTCATTGAATTAACGATAAAGTTAAGGGAAAAATAAAGCTATGATATCACGAAAGTGGTAACTTACCCGTGCACTTTTAAGAAGCGAGGTTTGAGTGCAGTCGTAGCAGTTTGAAAAGCACCGTCTTGTTTCTCTCTCAGATGTAGCTCTGCTATCTCTTCTCACTGCGCTGACAGTAAAAAAACCACTGAATAAGTAACAAAGTACACGCCAAAATTAAATTACACGTCATGGTGAGGGTGTTTTCCCTTTTGGATGAAATAACGGTGGAAACACCCAGGTGAAAAAAATAAGAAAAAATAAACACAAAAAAAGGAATAGTGAAAGAAAAAACTGCGATTGATGGGAACTTAGCAGAGTAAGCGGAATAAGTCCTAATTTTGAAACAAAATATAGACCAAAATGTCAGCAATTTATATCATCGAAATTGCTGATAACTTGTTATTTTTTTCATTTTCACTGCTAAAGATGCAAGCTATCGAAGGCAAGAGAAGTTATCTTTGATAATCGGGGATGCCATGGATATTGTGCTGTCTATAGCTTGGGAAATGAAATTGAACGACGGATATCTCAAAAGACACGAATTCTTTGATGGAAAGTTAAATTTGTGTGTGAACGAAATAATCCGCAAAAGCATTTTTCTGTTTATATTTTGTTCAACCCTTCTGGGTTCACTTGACAGTAATCGCATAAAGGCGACCAATCAAAAAGGTTTAAGATTGGTAACAGTGTTACCGAGTTTGATAGACATCGTCAACGAAGCCTTAGTAGCCCAAAGTCACTTGAAATAGATTTCCAATGCCACCATGCGTGGTCAAGAAGAAGTCCTGAAACAAGCATTTAATTCATGGTTCCAATTCCCCTTTGTTGCTTTATGGCAGTTTCAATTATTCAAACAACGAAATTTTTGTACTAAGCCATTCGTTAATATCCCAATCTATTTACCAATCGTTCGGCAGTTGGGAAAATTTACATGGATTTGGTCTAAAGCTGACTGAAATATTTTTCAACACTCGTCAGAATGTAAATCTCTTCAATATTTATCATTCAATCAATTTCATCTTCTGTTTGTGTATACATTCTTTACTACATCGTCATGCATAAAAAAGGCATTTGTCCCTAGTACAGCACATGTCACAAAACCTCCCAATCTTTCTTTTATACTCAACTTGATGATACTAGGATGAGAAGAAAAACAGGAGAAAATGGAATCCTGTCCATGGAAAACATGGTGCCTTTGCCAAGGAAACCGAGTCAACAGAGGGCGCCGAAGGAGGTACGAAATTAGCGTGAAAGGAATGTAAGAAATGTACTTACGTTTGAAAATTTTCCTTAGCAGTTCGTGAAGATATTCCTGCAATGGAACAAGTAAAGTAAATACAGTGAAAAAAGGCTTATAGAATGATGTCTAGCTTCACATTAGCTTTACTGTAAGAGCCTTTGTTTTTCATAAGACAATTTCATGAGTTGCTCTTACTTGTTAATGCCAAGAATGTGGGAAATGAAAATAGCAAGCAATTTGCTAGAGACAATTTTTGGGAATACCCTTTGGGCATTACAAAAGTGTTTTCAATCAATAGCGATTGCAGCCAATAGATCATAATCTCGCGCTACACCTACTGGTAAAATTATGTGAATTGAAATAGCTCGAATTCTTGCTTATAATCTTTTGTAGGTCTATCTTTAATCAGGGTCTTCAAATGACACATCAGCATCCATAAGCATGCAGTTCCATACCAAGTTGAAATGATTGTGCTCGATGAAGGCAATTTGGAGGGCCAGGAGGCTCCTCTTTCTTGAAGCAAGGAAGGAAAATGACAAGCAAATTCCACACACGAGACTCTAAGTTCCCTGAGGATGTACACATATCGCTTATTTACCGTCATTATATTGTGCTAATACAAGTGGAGTAGTTAAAATTAGTATGACAGTTCGTAAATAAAGAAATCCTCAAGTTCAAGTGATGTTTACTTCAATTTACATCGATTTCATCACAAGCAAGCGAGACTGAGTCACTGGTCATGCTCTCAGATTTTGCGTGGTAACAGAGCCCTGAACAAACATTATTTTTGATGACGTGATCCAAACGCTGAAACTATGCTTAATGTAGTTAAAGCTGCTTTCAGAAAGCTGTCTTAGAAAATGATGTATTCTTCTTGTCTTTTTACAAGTTCAAAGTGTTTTTTTTTTCATCTGTATTGCTTTCCTATCTCAGTAAAAAAATGTTATTAGCTCCTTGTTTTTCTTCGGAATGTCACATCTTTTTTTAAGCCCTAGGGTTTTTACTGCACCGAATTATCCAGAAGCGAGGTGTGGCGAATGATTAAAATTTCTTCGAACGAAATTATTCCGCGTCAGTATGAAAGGAGAATGCTTCAAACTACAGTAATACCAAGCGTAGGATCCACTGACTTAGACTTGAGAAATGGAATGTGCATTTAGAATTACAAAGGAGTTTCACGGGAAGAGGGCCACTTCTTCTTAACTTAACAATGTGCTTGTGAAAAGATGATAATAACCCTAGCTGACGCGCCAAAAAATAAAGCAACTTCAGTGTTGGTCACTATTCTTTCGGTTTACTGAAGATAACAAGAGTTAAAGAAGGGACCCTATGTCTTTCTTTTAAAGTTTTAAGGCCTAGAATAAAAATTAACAATTCATCCTGGTGATCAAACACCAATTCCATTTTACAATGAAATTCACTCCTTGCGTGCGACTGTTCAAGTGAAAGAATCAATTTAAATTTTTGCATAGGCGAATGAATGTCGGTTTTTAATGAATGCTTTCAGGTTAGTTCTCGTTCAGTCTTAATTCGAAAACGAGAAAAACAACTCTCGACGATTACCCTGGTGAAATACTGCTGCCTTTTTAAATTTGGCGCGAAGTGTCATTTCTGCCATTAACGGACAGGTAAACGAAAACAAAAACAAATGGAAGCTTGGATAGAGAAATGGCTACGAAAATCTTGTCTTTGAGAGAAAATTATTTTTTGTTGTTTTTGTGTTACAAACCGTAAGAACTAATAAGGCTCACCTTTCGAAGAATTGCAGAAAGTTCCGACTTACCCAACAACTTCAGTTTACCTCATGCGTGCATAAAATGACTATAGACTGAACGTAAACACGAAGTCATAACCTCAGAGACATTTAGGGGATTCCCCTTCAAGATGCGATTACAGGTGACAAAATATTTTGTTTAATTTCAGACGTAGTTCCGTTCGTCTAACAGGTAGTTGAAACGATAATTATGAAACAAGTTCCTGCAAGATGTCATGATCAGAGAATAAAGCATTGTTTTAAGTTATATTTGCAAAATATTTCATACTTTCCTGCGTTAAAATGAAGCGTTGCGTCTTTGATCTATTTTGAAGCGATTAGATTGGGGCACTAGATATTTCTTTAACGTCACTGATAGACCTCGTCAACCAAAACCCTTAGTAACTATTATTGAGATTTTCGGTTGCAATACCGTGTCATGAAATTATATTTATACGTTTCCTTAATTATTAAGTTGCCGTTTTACATATTTCTTGATCAATTTACTACATAAAATTCAGTTAAAGTAAACTGATGAAAACGGCGTGCCTCTGATACTGACCACAATCACGTTTCTATTTGTACGTGCCTTGAAGAACGTACATAAGCACATTCTAAAATTGGCTTGCTTCTACTCCCTATAAATACCTTTATACCTTTACTTCATTTTTTCCTCGGATTTAATTTAAACTTGTTTAAATTTAAATTTTTTTTACACCAATTATATAACTGTTCGTTACTCTCTGTCATCAGGCCAAAAGCAGTAAACACGCGTAATTACGTTTTTGATCTGTGAGCAAATTTCATCGACATGCCTTTTTAATTTTGAGGTTTGTAATCCTTGAGTTTTCTGTCAGTTGTCAAGTTATAATTTGAGTACAGAGACGGACGATTCAGCGTTTCAGCTTTAATATACTGTTCCAAATCTGCGTCTAAAGCGCGCTGCGCATTTCTAGTGAGTCAGCGCATTTAGGGTCGACTTATTATCAAATTTGTTGGCAAGCATTTATTTTGCTCAAGGTGTAGGTTACTCGTGTGAGTATAATTTTCTGCATGTTCTCGTATGATTCTCAGGTCTAATGAGTTAACCTAGGCCATTGAAAACAGCACACTCAAACGAATCTACAGTTTAGCGACGAGCCAATGGCTCTAGAAGACTGACTAGCCACAGAGTACGATATCCAGGTGACTGCAAACGGGTTTTCTCTCTATTTACCTAGCTCATCGTTCTTCCCCAACACTGACCCAATTTCTTCATCATTGAGAAGGCAGAAACAGGAAAGGTGTATTTCTATATTTTCCTGTCGCTTTGACGTGTTTCTATCGTACATGAACAATAACAACAAACAGCTAGGTCTTGAAGCGTACTATGACGTACCCGTGACGGATAATGAAGATTTGACGTCATTATTAAGTGCCAATTCATTAAAACGATGAATATTGTGATGTCTTGGATAAACGTTTAGGGTGATCTGCGTAATGTTTTGTGGAATACGTTTATCGTAAAACTATCCATCTTTCCTGTCAAGAATTAACGAGAGCGGTAATAGTTCTTGTAACGTTGACAAAGTTTTCACATTCTTCAGTATATTACAAGAGTCCCTTTCCTCTGGCAATTTTTTAAACTGAGTATTTGTTGTGAAAGTTTTTATTTACAAACTACAGTAATTCGAGCTTTTTAATTTTCGTCTTCCACGGGAAACCCCCACCTAATCCATCTACTTATTTCCATGGGAAGGAAGACGGAAGAATCGTTTTGAAACTGCTCGCCCACATTCATGGTTGCGTATGACGATATCTAGATCTGTTCCTGTCCATTGTCTTTTCATGTGTAATCAGTAATTCAGAGTGATTGCAAAATATGACTAGTCATTAAGTATTCAAAACTCTTGACCTGTCTGACATGCAAATTTTGTATGGGAATTATACTTCTTAAGAGCAAGTAGACAACGCAACATACGAAACGCACTCGGTGGATCGCTGTTCTTATTGTTGTAGTTGTCCGATTTCCTTCTTCTTCTTTTGATTATGAACTCGGCAGTACATCACCTAGCGAGTGATTCAAACGGTTTGTTTTCTCTCTTTTCAAACTAAGAGATAAAACATTTAAATCATGGCGTATGCAAATTCCCTGGCAATGCATATGATCTGGACGAGTAATCTCAAGAACGCTTTAAAATTCATGACGTGTAATTGACTCCGAAAAGATGAAATGGTACCCAAAAATTATGTAACTTTATATTCTTTTTTCCCCCAATTAAAGACCTATGGTGCAATTCATAACGATGAAAATAAAGGAAACAGTGATTCGCGTTTCGAGCTCGTAACATCAAGCAACAGATCGTCTCACCTTGGGCCCTTCGTTGTTTGAAAACAGCACCATGTAATTAGAGTCAGTCGACTGCGGTGTTGAATTAGATGCATAGACTGAAGAATCAGACCTTCAACAACCTCGCAGAGTTCATTATAAGCAGTAAATGAAAGTAATAAAAAAATATTTCTGCTCTAGAAATGATACAATGTATCTAAGAAAATTGTCCGGGGGGGCCCGGGTCCCCCTCATTTTGGGTAAAAGAAAAAAAAGAGAATCGCAGAAGTAAGAAAAGCCGGCAGGGCAAGCGACAAAGAACGTGTGTGAGAGCGACCACTGGCCTAGATGTCTCTTTACTTGACTCAGATTTAGCCTTCCTCTGAGGTCGTCATCAAAACGGAAATCACAGCCGCTGAAAAAAGCTTTCCTGATAACGATCACATAACGATAACTTAGCTGTCAAGATAACCTTGACTGACCGTCACGCCACGTTTGACCTTGAGAATCGCGATCATTTACTCAGACGATCAAAGTACCAGTTCAAAATCCGCGGTCTTTAATCTCAAACTAAATTTGGAACTTGGATGGAAGCATCATGTTCAATCGATCTAGATACAGGATACTTATTTTTCTGAGGATAATATTTAAATGTTTTTCTCAAGTGTGAGGTAAAGAAAATTTCTGAACACCACGGGTGGAATCGAACCTCAGATGATACGATTTTGCGGTCCAAAGCTCTGCAAATTGAGTGCTTTGGTGAAAAAGAATATTCCCTCAACATTCAGAGAAGAAGCGCACAAGTCAGCTTCTACAATCTATTGCCAGAAATGAAATTTGTTACGGCTTATTTAAATACTGGAGTTCCCGTTCTGGCCATATTGGGGGTCAATGAAGCTTTTACCCAGTTTCTTCAGTTGGATGGAGCTTATTAATATTTAAGGTATGAACACAATATTTCTTATTCTGCAAAGTGCACATGCGTTTAATTTCATGTAAGCTTATCTCTAG